CTCGGAGAATCCGACTTGTACTTTGTGTAACATGATGGTACCTGAAACCATTTGTCACGTTTTATTCACCTGCACTACAGCCAAGGAAACATGGGAGCACTCTAACATTCCCCTCCCGCCATCTGGTCTCTCACCAAACTCTGTGTTTTTGAATATCCATCATCTGCTCAACATATGCAACAACTCATCGTTGGCCTCTCCCCTACGTCATAGCTTTCCTTGGGTTCTCTGGCAATTATGGAAAGCTCGGAACGGACTGCAATTTGAAAACACAAGATACAATCCTATATCAATCTGGAACAAATCGTCAAAGGAGGCAACCATTTGGTTAAACCTGAATCTGCGGATCCCCACTGGCCCTAATTAGAGATCGGTTCCTCCCGGGGTCCTTGTATACAGGTCTACTTGGGCCAAACCTCCTCCCACTACACTCAAGTGTAACATGGGCGCAAATTGGTGTGATACAAGGTTTGAAGGTGGAGTATCATGGATAACTCGGGATTCTCATGGCAAAGCTTTGTTTCATAGCAGGAGATCTTATGCGAACGTGTCCTCTAGACTTGAAGCAGAGCTGTGGAGCTTCTTATGGGCAATTGAAAGCTCTGCCAATCTTGGATTATGCAATGTGATTTTTGAATCGCATTTCACTCAAGTACGAGAAGCTTTGCTCCGTCCTTTCACATTTCTGATGTACCGGAGCTTATTGAACCAAATCTTTCACACTCTCATTTCCTTTGAGAGCTAGAGTTTCTCTCACACTCCTGAATCATGCAATCAAATTGCTCAGAGAGTAGCAAGGAGCGTAATTACGGATGGTCGTCATCAATCTTATATCGCTCGGGATGGGCTGCGTTGGCTGAATCATCTTTTTGCGTCTGAAACTGTGTAATGGAGAATACTCAGTTTTTCAGTTATTTATGATGCCTACTGGCATCTCTTTGTTTTATTTCTCTTGTAATGGAGGGATTCTCCTCCTACGTTGTCTGGAACTTGCCTTTCTAATAAAATCTAAAACGTTAAGAAAAAACTAATACTAAAAATGAATACTACTTTAATGCTAACGAGATCCACAACATTTCATTGATAAACATGGTCTTACACCAACTCTCCGTTTTTTTAAGGTCATGTTATTTGGGTGAACTTTTCTCCCGTTCACTGTAACCAATATTGTTGTATGCCTTTTAATACAAAAAAAAAGGAAAAAAAAATTAGTATTGGGTCATACATGTTAGCCTCATTATCGGTGAGACTACAAAGAGTCTC